GGGACCCGGCTTGGCTTGGTGGGCGTGGTTAGGTGCGGAGTCGGGAGCCAGGAGGGAAGGGGCGGAGCGGGGAAGGAAGGAGTGGGCGGGGCACTCCAGTACCTTCCTTTCCCAATTTCGCCCCTCTTTCCCGCCTCCCCTGTTCGCCCCCTAGGCCTCCGCCTGCTCTCCAGTCGGAGTGCGTGGCTTCCCTCAGGAGCTCGAGCCGCACTGCGGACCTGTCTAGTGAACTGATGAGGTGAGAGAAGTTCCCACTTCCCCTTAGACTTCCTGCCAGCCTGGCAGCCCGACGGCTCCAAGATCCGGATGGAGCGAGAGACAGCGGAACCCTTCCGAGGCTAGGTCGGTGACAGAGCACGGCAGGGGTGGGAAGCTCACCACCCTGGGACCCAGGAAATACTTGATGACTCTGCAGGGGTCTGGGGGGCCTGAAAGAGCCGGTTGAATTTGCATTGGAATTTGTTTGTGTTTCTGAGCCCAGAATTGCCCCTCACACTACATGCTCTTTACCTCCGCCCCACACAGCTGGACCTCAGCTACTCACCTGCAAACTTACCTGCCTTCCAGAGGACCAGTCTGGAGCGTGATGAACACTGGCGAGCCCCCTAGGTGGCAGCAAAGGCCCAAGAAAGTGGTCCCAGAATGGACCCTCCCTTCCGCCCTAAAGCCAGAAAGGCCGGAAACGATGGAGCCACCTCAAAAAGTAGAGAACTGAGGTCCAGAGCGGCAGGAACATGCTCACATCACGCAGTGATTTGAACTCTGACTTTTCTGCCGCAGGGAAAGGGGGTACGAGGCAGAGAGAGGAGAGGCTCACAGGCAGAGACCATAGGAAGTGACGGTTCAGAGCACAGATTGACTCAGACCTGCCTTCCAGACCCTGTGACTGTGGGAGTCTCCTCACCCCTCTGAGGCTGTCTCCTTACCCGTAGAAGGGCACCTACTTCTTTTTTGTTTTGAAGATATTTTTAGGATTAGCTGAGATGCTGCATGGAAATCACTTAGTACAGTGCCTGGCATGTAGTAAGTGCTCTCAGGAAATAGCCACATTAATAAATGTAAAGCAACATTCCACAGGCCACCAAAACCATGTCTGGCTGCTTCGTGAGTGTGATGGTCTCTTGTCAAGTTGGCTAAATTACAGTCCCCAGTTATTCAATCAAACACTAATCTAGATATTGCTGGTGATGGTATTTTGTAGATGTAATTAGTCTGTTTTTAATTGACTTTAAGGGAGATTATCCTAGATAATCTGGGTAGGCCTGATTCAATGGTTGAAAGGCCTTAAGATCAGAGATGAGGTTTCTCTGAGGAAGAAGAAATTCTGCCTGTGGACAGCAGCTCTGACCCTTGGTAAGAGTTCCAGCCTGCACCTGATGATTTTGGACTTGCCTAGCCAACCCCACAATCACAAGTCAACTCCTTGCAAAAGAAAAAAAAAAGAAAAAAACCTCAGTGTGCATCTCCTACTGGTACTCTGGTTGAACCCTGACAAATACATAGAGGATGTGAGGTGTGTGTGTGAGTGTGCATGCACGTGCTGGAATCCCAGGGCCCAGTCCTTGTGCTTGTGCACTCCTTTTTAAGCTCAGGATGATTTGTGCCTTTCAGGATCCTGTAGTACAGGTTATAGCAAAACCATGATTGAGCGTAGGGCTGAGAGTAGGGCTAGGAGGCCGACGGGGACAGAGGGCCCAGGTGCAGGCCTCTTAGTTCCTTCCACCACCCCTGCACCTAGGCTTAGGCCTCACAGAAGCAACCTGCTTGTTTCCAGGCTTCCTCTACAGTCCCCTTTTCTCAAGGGAGGCCAGGCTCATCCTCCCCTTGCAGCAAGTGTAGGATTAGGAATGAGGAGTACATACCATGCTGCCTCCCCAGGAGCCAGCTGGTGAGGAGGAGGCTTCTCCTTCAGCAACCAGCTGGTCCACATGTCCCTGTACCCTGCCTCTCCCGCCCCCATCCCACAGGCTATGTGTGTGTCATGTGCACACCTACACCTCCTGCCCTCCCGCCCTAATTCTAACAGTCCCTGACCTTCATTGATCGTAGTCTGCATCGGAACACCGTGCCAAGCACTTCACTCATCTCATTTCACTTCATCACAAACCTATGAGACAGAAGCCAATATTATCATTATCCCCATTTTACAGAGGAGGAAGCTGAGGTGTGGTGGCGTGTTCTCAGCCTCCCACCTGTTCCTCCTCTTGCTAAGACCAGCTGGGACTTGAAAGTCAGCTGAGAACAGCTGTGGTGTAGAGAAAGTGGCTTTGATGGAGCTGAAAGTCATATCCCTCCTCAGCCCCTCTGTTTGGTCCTTACAAATGATGATGATGAAGATCAAAGAGGTAGCCAGCCTGAAAGCACCAGGCTTCCCTTCCCCCTTTTCACCAAGAAACTGGGGAGGCTGGTAAAGTGTGGTCTAGTGGGAAGAGGGTGGGCTCAGGAGTCAGCAAGCCCATGTCTGAGGCCTGGTGTGGCCACTTGCAAACTGTAAGGCCTTTGGCAAGTTCTAGAACCTTTCTGAGCCTACGTTTCCTCATCTGTGACATGGGCCATTGAAGAGCTCCCTCACAGGACTCCTGTGGGGACAGGAAAGCAGCTGGCATGTATTGGTACTGAGGGTTCAGGCCTGCCACCTGTTCTCTCCACTTTTATTAGGGGGTTGGCAAAAGTGAAGACCCCATGTTTTAAACACAAGAGATCGTCGTTATTACTGCTCTATAGACATAGTCCCCCACCCTCTAAAACAAAACAAAACAAAACAAAACTCCCAGAACAAAGCATTTAAGGAGGCACTCCTTTTAAAGACCATCTCCAAGAGTGCATGCCTCTTTAAATGTTGCGTTTCGGGCATCTCTCTTGCCTCCCTTAGTCCCAGTCCTGCTCTGCTTCCTCATCTGAGAGAATAGCAGTCACTCCTCTACCTCAAGTCACTCATGCCAACCGCAGTGTCATCCTGAGTCTTCCTTACCCTTACCCCATATCTAGTCCTGTCAGCTCCACCTCCCAAATATATCCACCATGTCCCTCCATCTCATTGCCACCACCCAAGTCCCCATCACCCAGTCTCTCTCCTGACAAACTGCTCTCCCATTCTGCCACACGCCACAGCCAGGACAAATTTTTAAAAATACAAACAGAATCATGTCTCCTGCTGCTCTAAACATTCCCATGGCGTTTCCTAGTGCTCTGGCCTCCGAGGCCCTGTGAGACTTATACCCTGCCGCCCTTTCCACCCTCATTCGCACGTGGCTTTCTCCTGCTCTCTACGTGGCCTCATTTCAGCTCCCAGTACTCTGCATACTCCCTTGGCAAATGCTGTTCCCTCTGTCAAAACAGACTTCTTCTCCCACTCCACCCCACCCCCTTCAGTTAACTCCTCTCCTACCCAGGCTGCTTCTGGTGTCTTTGTTAAACAAGCCCCTGGCATTCCGTGCCTTCCCTTCCAAGCACTAGACACAGTCTGCCCCTCAGCATTCATTGGGGAACTGCAGAATTACCCTTGGCCCCTCCATTAGGACAGAGACCCAGGCAGGTTTTGCTTACTGTGGTATCCTGGTGCCCACACATAGAAGAGTTGAATCCATGCTTATTGGATGAGTCATAGGTGAGGGAGCAAGGCTAGGCACTTATCCGATTATGGGCGGGGCCCCCATGTCCTGGGTGGCTTGGAGAGGCCCAGTTTTCACCTGTTGTCCCAGTATAATAATAATGGACCCTGGTTTACTCTCAAGTGTCCTAGTTTGATGATACATGGTCAGCCTGGTTATTGGAAAGGAGAAGGGGTTCACCCTAGAGCTTCTCGCTCCCAGCCCCACGTTGGTTTTCCACTTTTCCCCTACAAGCCCAAAGCTTTTCCTTCTTGCTCCTGAGATATTTTTTCTTTTTAACATTCCCTCTACATTGCCCCTCACCACAGAAATACATAAGAAATTTTGCCCATTTCACGGCAGAACTGTCCTCCTGGGAGGGTTGCCGTGGTGATCGAATGATGTCACTGCCCTGGAAACGGTTGCCTAGGAGATGAGTGATATCACTTCCAGGAGATGGTTGCCATGGTAACCATCTCGGTGGAACTAGGGGGTGGCCAGGAAAGTGAAGGGGGGGTGGAGGGCGGATGCAGAAGGGACAAATGTGAAGGGCGGAAGGAAAAGGGGGGAGTGCAGGAAAAAAGGCCAGGAAGAGGATGGGGACCATCCCAGAACAGTTGAAAAAAACGACAGAATCACAGAACATCAGAAATGGAGAGGTGCCCAGCGACCCCCCAAAAGCACCTGCCTCCTTTTTAGAGGCTGCTGAGAGGCTAGGACTTGCTCAAGGTCACACCACCAGTTTCCAAGTGTCGTCGGAACCAAGCCCAAGGCTTCACGGCCCTCAGCTTCTCATATGGCTCACCAGTAGTAGATTTGGTTGGGTGGGAAAATAAAGGATTCCTTTTTGGTCATTTCTTTTAAAGAAATTCTGGCCTCAAGTCACTCAATAATTCTTAAATTCAACAAATTTTTATTGCAAGCTCTGTGCTAAGCCCTAGAGAAGAACCTAAGTGACATTTTCGTAGTTACTTTTTTATTTTATATATTTATTGCAGCTCCCCCACTGGAATGTTAGCCCCACGAGGACAGTTAACTCACCAAGGTATCCCCAAGCACCTGCCCCATGCCTACCATATAGTAGGAGCTCAGCTTGTTTGTTGAATGGACGAAGACTAAGTGGTAAATGCCATTGTGTGGTACAGACCCGCAATACAGGAGCCCACAGAGGGGCTCACAGTAGCCGGCAGGGAGAAGGTGGGATTTCATAGATAGGATTTGAATAGACCTCCAGAAGAAAGCCATTCCAGAGGGAAAAGTAATGGCTGGAGCCAAAGTGAGAGAGCAGGCTTGAACAAGTTGGATCCAGCTGGAGAGATTTCAACTGGCGGTGCTTAGTTCCACCTATTGAGTCATACTACTGGAGCTGTAGCATCTACCGTCTGGTAGAAAGAGAGCCAAGGATTAAGAGGAAGAAATACATGACGGTCCGTGTCCTGGATAGGCCTAGGGGTAGGAGTGGGGCAGCAAAAAAGACTGATCTGGCCGAAGAGGCAGACGTGAAGGAGAAGGTAACCGAGAGAAGTCGAGCTGGTGAGGAAAGAGGTCCCATCATGACCTGCAACGTCAGGCTTCCAGCCTCTGCCTGAAGGCAACATGTTCATGAAAACAAGGACCTTGGAGCCCTGCAGAGAGACATGCTCTGCTACTTCCCAGCCATGCGACCAAGAGTCACTTTTCCTCTCTGAGCCTCTCAATTGGAGCTAACCTTCCTCACGGATTGTCAGCTTTGAATTTTAAACTGTATGTAAAGCCCCGCTTTGCAGGGTAACTGCTAAGTCACCCACAAAAGGCAGTCGGCAAATGTTATTTCCCCTCCCCTTCCTGGTACAGTCCCTGCCCTTCAGAATGGCATGGGAGTTGTATTTTGGGAAAATGAACTTGATAGTGGATTCCTTCATTCTTTAGCTCATCCAACCTTTTGAAGCCCTTGTTTTGCTAGGCACCGTAGGGGCCTATGGTCCAGTGGAGATGTGCACAGCAACTTAGAAATAACAACACAAGGACTGACCCAAAGTCACCCAGCCAGCAGGTGGCTTCCAGCCAGATCAGATCAGAGAGTTTCATAAGAGACAGCATTTCATTAGGCTTTGAAGGATTTGATTTGGGTAGACTGTCCTATAGGTTGGAGAAGAAAGGATAGAGACTAGATGGGCAGAGAGGGCCTAGCTATTGTTATAACTTTTCTAGGACTCCTTTTTTCCAGGTGGGGATCAAAAAACCCATGGTGCAGTGGAAAAAGCCTTGAATTGGGACAGCCCGTTTTTATCTCAGCATTACCTCTTCCTAGCTATGTACCTCAATCCCACTCAATACCTGATGTCCTTATCTGTTAAAAAGATTTTCATTCCTACCTTCCAGGGTTGCTGTAAAGATTCAGACCATGCACCTAAAGTGCCCAGGACACGGGAGGTATTTGAAATGGTTTTCATTAGCCTAACAACTGGATTTTATAATGGAAGATGTGTTAGTTCCCACCCAGCTGTGAATCGGTGTTTGT